ATGCATGTATATATTTCAGAAAAATATGCTGTTTATATATTAAATATATGTATTTATAATATAAATTATATGAATATAAATACAGACATGTAAATATTTTCAAAATATATACTGTATGTGTGTGTACTTATATATACATAATAAATATACACAGAACACACACATATATTATGCAAAAAAAACTTTTGTTTTGTATGCGATTAATCGCGATTAATCGTTTGACAGCACTATTGAAAAGGCAAATGCTTTAAAGACAACGGACATGCATTTATTGAAAAACATTTTTTTTTCTTTTTTAGAATCCAAAATTGATCAGTAACCATTCTGTTTCAGTGTCTGTATTTTCTGTACTTTTTTAACAGTGAGGCCTGTGCGAATTCACACACATAGCTCATTTTCATTGACACAGCAGGTAGCCGAGAAACTCAAGAACGAGCCTCTTTAAACGAACGATTCTCTGTGTGCTTATTTCTGCATTCGCCTGTAAAGATCAACAGGGACTGTGTCAACACTTTCCACTGTTCTAATGTGGTGAGCTTTACAAGCTAATTTTATGCCATTTTGCACCATTTGCCTTAATAGCAAAGCCTCAGCTGGAAACAACAGCAAATCCTTCAAATTAATCACCCTGGTGCCGCAGGCCGGCAGTCAAAGGCTTTTTATTATAAAGTTTTTTGTTAATGCATCTGGAACATGGCCTTCAGCAAGAGGGCACATTCCTCCAAGTGCCCTCTGACACAGCCTTGACCATATCAGGGGTCACATCCCTGGACATGCTTGTGTCCACACAGGTCAATGACAAGCACAAAGCGAGTGTCAATAAGTGAGCATTATCAGCGTTAGTCCTGAGAGTTCCTGACAGGGTTCATGATCCATGTTGCTTGGAGATCATTCTAATTCGTCTCTTTGAGAATCTATGAAAAAATTGAACATAATCCTGGTCAACAAACCAATACCGTTGAATTGTTGTGCTCTGTAAGTCAGGTCTTGATAAGATCACTATCAAAAGATTTGCTCTAAGCTAAAACAATATTTCTTGACACATATCTCGTGTGACAGCAGAGTGAAAGGATTTCCAAGAATTCTAGCATAATATCCCTGAGTTGAAATATTTAATGAAACAGCACATTCAGCTGTTATCAAATAATCTACATAAGCTCCCGCTTATTTTATGAACTCTGGCCTCAGTGTCACAGTCTGTGCTTAGGTCAACACTAGACAGTAGATTCAGTAATATGACCTCTATGACCAAACAATGAATTCTATGTGGGAACGTAAAGTTTGACAGGTCTAAAATGCCATGGGCAAATAAAATCTGCATGCTAAAATAATTAGCAACTCTGTAACAAATGTCTATGTTATATTGCTCAATTTTACTACTGAAAATGCATAGTTTGGTTCTTAATTATTCTAATAATTATTTTTAGTAATTTTACAGAATACATATTTGGGGGAAAATGCAATGATATATATATAAAACTTAAAAAAGCATATTTCTTGCAAAAGGTGTATTTACACAGACAGTTTACACAATGAATTTCTTTTTAGAAATGGCATAAATGCAATCCAATAAAACTATATATTTAAAAAGAAAAATGGTGGTATGATATTAAATTAATTCATTCATATTTATAAGCTACTACTGACAAAACATCTTTAATTACACGTCATAGTCATACTGCATGAACAACTCCTACACAGATTTGTTATTTGCATGTGGGAGATTCATTAAAAAGAACAAAATCATAAGAACAAATGGGCGATATGGCCAAAAAAAGATCACGATAATTTTTTAAATAAATGATAAATGTCAAATCTTTATTTATTTTAGGCTTAAAGCCAGATTTTTGCTCCAAAGTGTAAGTTGTAGCAACCAGACTGTTAATTTATTTGATAAAAATTAATTTTCTGCATGTTCCATTGAGTGATATTGTTTCAAATCAAGAAACAGGTTTGTGTTCCCTCATAATTTTTCTATTAAGATATTTATTTTTTTGAGAAAAATTAACAGTTTGGTTTCTACAACTTTAACTTTGGAGCAAAAACCTGGCTTTAAACTTTAAATAAATATACACACATATTTCCCTCAATGGTGACGAATTTTCACCAAACTGGACACAATGCCTTGGCCATCTACAACAAAATATATTAACTTCTTTTCCCTGAATTTTAAAGTTTTTTAATCACTTTGCCAATCTTAACAAGTTGCAGTGTTGCGATGTTTGATGGAGTATGGATCCACTGAATATCCATATATCTCCGTATATCCAATAAAGCATGGGAAAATATCACCATCTATATTTTAAAAAGCCAAAACTGAGCTGTCTTTCCTGACAAAGACTTCTTTAGTCATGGTTTTGTCAAGACACAGTTCTTAATAGGACCTGAAAGCTCCCCATGAGGGCCTGTTTAGCTTCATGGTCTTTTATTCTTACGTAAGGAGCAGAAAACATAATAATGACAGACTCATATATGATGCCCTTTTATTAGAGGACGACAATGTCATAAATAGGATTAAAACAGGCCACCGTCTGCTGCTGGAGCCTTGCATCCTGCTTTATGTAAGGCCTACTGTATCATGGTTAACCACATGTGATACAATAGCCAAACCACATGTGAGGGAGCATGTCAATAAAAGACGCATTAATCAAACGCTACAGCTCTGTGTTGTGTTTGCTGAGGTTTTCAGCATCTAAATGAAAGATAAGAGGAATATAGGCGAGGTTTGGCAGAAACAGACATATGACACAGAGGACTTCGGTAAAACACTCCCATAAGTCATCTTTATGGTCTTTCATAGCAAAGACAGTGAGGAAATGTTTCATTAATGAAAGAAGAGGATATGACGTTGCATTTTAGGCTGCTAAAACAACCCACTTCTCTTACAATGAAGACTTGTGTGGAGTATGATTGCATGTCAGATACTTCTAAGGCACATGTGGTCTTGACCATGCAGACTTTTGACCATAAACTCTCCCTTGATCTTTCCATGATCATGTGTATCCTGGGGGTGCTAACAAACCCAGGAGTGATTAAGAGGGACTGACTGAATAGATGCAGAAAATAGCCCTCATGGCCCACATACAACAGGCTTTCTGAGGTAGCCAACACCTGGTTCATCTTTCCTCTATGGATATGTGTGCTGTGACCCAGATTTGAACTCTACAACCTGCCCAACACCACTGATCTCCTAGTTGTTTATGAATAGTTGATCTCTTTTCATTGTAAAGCCTGGCAGGCGAGCAAATGGAGTTCATCTTCAGAGGAAGGGATATGATGGGTCTTGACAAGTACAAATGTTTTACACATGGCATGATGGGAAGACGACAAATTTATTTGCTGGAAGACGTAATGTTCCGATCTCAATATCTTTCAAAACCGAAGTCTGTAGTCAGACTCACAGCGAAAAATGACACTTCTTAAAAATCTCCTACCACAATTGTTTCTCATTAACAGTAATATGACTAAATGGAGATAAAATTGTGATTTTAGCCAGTCTACAGAATTTTGTACTGATTTTGTGCAGTTTCTAAGATCTCTACCATGTCTCACAGTGTGCTCAGAGTATTCAAAAAATTTGAGAATTCAGGACGAACTCAAACATTTCTCATCAGATTCTTACCTAGTTAAGACCTAATTAACTTGACTGATTCTTACCTAGTTAAGACCTAATTAACCTTAGTGCGAGATTCACATTCATGCAACTCAAAACTCTAACAAACTGTTTTTTTATGTATCTAAAGGAGGTTCATTTTAGGAGAAACATCTGAGTCAAATGAAGTGAAAGCATGATAACTGCATTACTTTGCTTTTTCGGGTCCCACAGGACAGAAAAAAAAAATCACAATGAGATCCTTTTAATATCTAATTTAATATTGTTTCTCCATGACAACAATTACATTTAATATAGACCCGGTTCACCTACATTTAGATTTTTCTCCTGCAGAGCCTCAAAGTTTCATGTCTCTCATTTACACTTTCAGAAAAGGTCTCAACAATGTCTCACACTTTGCTCAGATTTGCCAATATACTAAAGTCAATCAAATTTAATAGATTTTAACACGAATTCAATCACATTTCCCAATATATTTTTTTCTGGGAAATATTATTTGCTTATGCCTCCAAATTAAATCGGTTCGTTTGATACTTTGTGACAACCGTCATGCGGCTTCAACCAATCAGAATTTAAAATTCAGCAATACTATTAAGCATGATTTCTCAACAGCTTTAAAAAAATTTAAGTAGACCTAATTTTCTTTTCACTTCTTAATATAATGAAATGTTTTCCCTTCTTGATGTGCACTGCTGCTGATCATTATTTTTCTGTTTCTCTATATTTTTGTTGCTCTACATTGAATTTGAACAGCTGTTTTTTTGTTCAATAAACGGAACCTTATCCGCTTTCCCTCTCTTCACTAAGACAGCATTGATTTTGTCAAACAAAACCGCTATTGTCTCATATGAGCTGAATAGACAGAGAAGCATAAAGCACAAAAGTAAACTGTCTGTTCAAAAGAGATGAAACACCACAAACACTGACATCTGGATCCTCTCAGGGTTTAATCGTATAAGGTAAATTAGCATTTTCAGACTTTAGGATTAGCACTAAATTGAGGGTCTGGACACTTTGTTGTTGCCTATTATTATTTTTTCCAATTCTTTTTTTCCCCTGTTTTCAGCTGCAGTGTTTATTCAGTTTATTTAGTTAGATCGTTTAGTTATTAACTTTATTTTGTTATTTAGTTTAGCTCTATTTATGATATCACCAAACAACAAGCCATTCTCTGTTGCTAATCAAACACCATGAAACAGACATTCATAAAATAACACATTATAGTTTGACCTCTTTATAAACCTTGGATTCCTGAAGTCATGTCTCTTGCAAACTGGAGAACAAGATACAAGCATTTTCTGAAAATTAGAAGACTTACTTAGGAATGCTAACAGTTCAGAGCCACTTTCATTCCATTACAACTCTAGAGGGAATGTGGCACTATTTCAAAACACAGAGGATGGGAACTGAGGAATGTTTGAGAGGAGGGAAACAGGGAGGGATATCATGCAAAACACTTTGTATGACCTTGCTGCAGTATCATAACCACAGACACATGGGGATACAAAGTGAATATGAATAAGTTATTTTATATATGTATAGGGTACTACAGGGCTAAAGGCCCCCTGGGGTAAAGGTCTTTTGATATCATTTTTTCTCACAGCACTAAATAGCAAGAGAATCCACTATAGCACTTTATAACACCTGCTTGTCGCTATGCGCTGCAAAATTCTCTTGATCCATGAGCTCATCACATTGCATGTCTAAAAGTACTAACATTCATTTTCACACAAACTGGGCTGCTCCATCAGTTCAACCAAGTCTCAGCCTTTCTCACACAGAACAACCTCCTGGACAGCAACCAATCTGGCTTCAGAAGTGGACATTCGACCGAGACTGCCTTGCTTTCAGTTGTTGAAGCCCTAATATATATATATACATATACATACATACATACATACATATATACATATACATACATATATATATATACATATACATACATACATACATATATATATATATATATAAAGGAGACAATTAACTAAAATAATTATATGTATATACACTAAAGTTTAGGGTAATATTAAATATTGAATATTTTTTTTAAATATATATATTTAATAGCTGAACAATGCTGGAATTATTTGTTTCTACTTTTAATGTTGTATAATAACAACAGTAAATTGTGCTTTCATACATTATAAAATGTATTTTTGCACATTAATGTGTTATATATATATTATACACTCACACACATTATACATATACACATATATAGCTGAAAAGCATATATATATATAGTAATAATGTAAATGTCTTTACTTTCTTTTTTTATGTTACCGATGCCAAACATTTGAACAGTATTATATATAGGTCTATAACACCATCGTAAATTTCTAGACCAAAAAAAAATTGCTCATTTTTTGCTGTTGTTTTTGTTTGTATCTCCATTAAGCGATCTAAATGTAGAGAAATGTGACCAAGTAAACTTGTCAAGTTGGTATGTTAAACAACTCTATAAGCCAGAGAGTTACTTGTGTGTAAGAAGCTGAGGCTATCCAAACAACTATTATAAAATTACAATCCATAACCCAAACACAGTGAACTGCAGTAAAAACAAACATGGGGACACACAGGAGCAAGAGAGCAAGGGCTCAACACAACTGCTCCTTTATAAAGAAGGAACAAAGAGACATGACTAAATACTATCTGACAGAATAATAACAAGGTGTATATGGCAATAACTGCTTAGTTTCACGCATGCTGTCCACCCCACACTCAACAAGCACACAGCAAAACAAACAATAGCTTAGAATTGTGTTCCTCTGAGTGAGCGTTTGCAGCTCTGTTTAATCAGATAAAGCACAATGCCACAGGTTCACATGTTTCACAAGCTCAAAGAAGAGACTCAATCACAGCCAAAGAATGCAGCCCTAATTAGGGGTCGGCCTCTATATGTTCATCCGCTTTAGTTTCCTGAATAAATTATTCAAATGAGTTTAAAATAATAAATGAAATAAATGTTGCCATTATAATGTATTATAAGGCAGATTACTTATCTGAAAACAGTTTTGTATTAAGAAACCTAAGCTGTAGTCCTCAATGAATGGCTCTAAGCATTTGCACAAATGCCACTCAGTTTACCTTGGGGCTTACAGAAATGGTGTTTAATCAAATCTTGTAGTAAAAACTCAACATGCCTTTAACTGCCCCTCTGTTTTAACCTAGTGAATATCACAGCCTTGGGGAATACCTTGGAGAAAAAAATGGAAATTGTTCATTAAACCCTGATTGTCACACAACCCATACAATGAATCGGTACGGAGCAGTGTATTAACCCTGATCGGAGTTATTGAAGTCAGTAGTCAAACAGATGGACAGGAGAGAAGCAGGTCGCTCTTGTACATGGTCGGTCCCCTGTTGATTGTCATGAGTGGAGTCGGAGAACATAAGCCGCTCTGAAGAGAACAAAGAACATGACTGAAAGGACAAGCCATCAGCCCCTCACTCTATTCAAGACACTACCTCTCCTTTCTCTCTAGTTCGCTCTCCCTGATCCCCGATCAGACCCTCCTCCTCGCCAACATCTCTTCGTTTCAATGCATATGATGCATATGAAAGTTCCCGGGGTAAACAGGGTTGTCCCTTCCATAAAGCATGCAAAAACATTTGCTTGTGAATAGTTAATTCAATTATGATAAATACAATTTCAAAAACAGAAAACCATACTAATTAAAGTTGAAGTAATTTCTGCACCACTAGTGTGCAGAAACACAAAAAAGCAAAAATACTGATTGTTTTTCAAACAGGTTTCAGGTTTATCCCATGTCTTCTATTGGTCAGCCAAACCAATAGTCCTGTCCACATTTTACACATTTTATTGATAAAAATAGAATAGAATAGAATAGCACACTTGTGGATATTTATATAATAAATATATGTGTGTGAATTTATCTTTTTACTTCTTTTTGCTCTTCACCGCTGCATTTATTTGATCAAAAATACAGTAAAAACAATAATATTTTGAAATATTATTACAACTAAAACAAATTAAAAACTCTTCCTCTATTTTAATATATTTTTTCAATGCCAAATTTTCAGCCATTATTACTCCAATCTTCAGTGTCACATGCTCTTTCAGAAATCATTCTATGCTGATTTGGTGCACAAAATTTTTTTTATTTACAGTATTTATTTATTTATCAGGTGTGCTGCTTAATTTTTTTTTTCTGGAAACCGTGACACTTTTAGAAATTTAGACATCTTTTAACACAAAGTGTCTTTACAGTTATCATCATTTGATCAATTTAATGCATTCTTGCTAAAAAAAAAAAAAAAGTATACATTTTCTTGAAGAAAAAACAAAGTACTGACCCCAAACTTCTGAACAGTATATATATATATTTTTGTTTGTTTTGTGTGTGTAATATATATATATATATACACTCTCTCCATTTGATAGGAAGCTACCAGTTATGTCACGTCCTATGCGATGCTGAGCTATGTTCTCGCAGTGTTATTTTCCAGCATGTTTAAACAAGATGTGATATCGCTGTTTATGTCATCCCTGAAAATTACTGTTTGTGTTTGTGTTCTGTATTATCATAAGAGACTTGCCTCTCTGACAGCAGGCATGTTTGAAGCCCAGATCATGTATTTCAAAGGGAATTACAGATATGTTGATAGCTATAGGGCAAGATCATGTAGTCTTGTATGACTGGTAAACCACATTGAATGAACAATGAGCTAAGTATTTGTTGTGGCGTATGCCAGGGATAACAAGTGAAGTATTACACCTTTGATATGGAAAACTACTTCAGCTTAAATTACAGTCAAGTTCTGAACATGAACATGACTTTTTTTCTCTCTCTTTAGCTAATGACTTCAAAGTGCTAAGAGCTAAACCACAGAATTCAAGTAAAATCCGTTTGCCTAACAACCACAGTTGTGACGCAAACCATTTTTGTTCAATAGAACAGGTTTAAGGGATTCCAAGCCTCGTCACAGAGGTGTCCTGACCTTATTCAGTGACCTAATCCTATGAGCTCACACTCTGTGTGTTCACTTGTGAGTTCTGCATGACTGCTGCTGCCCCAAGAGATGTAGGGAGGGAGTTGGGGTTCCGCTAGTTCCCTCATCGACACTGACCTCATTCACATTATCAGTGAGAGAGGTGAGCCCTCCCTGTCTAATCCCTTGACCCCCAGTGCATTAAAGTAACCGTTGGTGGACATGCAAGGTCGGTCTGTCACCCCAACCCCCTCAAAACCTGGCTAGCGGTGGGGGTGGGACCATGTAAGTTGGTGTGGAGGGGTAATATAGCATGGCCGATGAGCGATATGGGAGTCTGTAATAATGCTCGTTTCGGGAGGCGCAACTTGCACGCCTCAGTATCGCTTTCTGACCCCCTGTGAAAGCGAGGACCTTTCTTGCTGATTCACTTCCAGTGCATTGAGGTGATTTTGCAAGAGTATTTCATGGAAGTCCGTTATCGCCACAGAATAAATAAAAACAGTAAATTTGACTTTTTAATCTCACAACTCAGACTTTTTTTCTTGCAATTCTGGGCTAATCTTTCACAATTCTGACTTTTATTCCACAATTCTTAGAAATAACGTTAGAATTGCAAGATATAAGCTCCTAAATGCAAGGTACAAATTAAATTGTGACATAAAATTACAATTGTGAGATGTTAAATTACAATTGCAAGATATAAACTTCCAATTCTGAGAAGAAGAAAAAAAAATTGAATTGTGAGATACAAACTTGCAAGTGCAAGAAACAAAAGTTTATACTGTATCTTGCAATTCTGACTTTTCATAAAAAGTCACTTTTTTTAGTATTTTTTATTTGGTGGCAGAAACAAAAAACAGAATTGCAGGATGTAAGCACAGAATTCAGAGAAAAAAATCAGAAATGTGAGATATAAACTTGCATTTCAGAAAAAAACGTCTGCATTTTGAGATATACGTGAACTCACAATTGCAAGAAAAAAAGGTCAGAATTCTGAGTTTATATCTTGCAATTGTGACTTTTGTTCTCAGAAATGAGACAGTACAAATTGTGAGACAAACTCAGAACTGAACTGGGATTTTAAAAAATGTCAAAATTGGAAGAAAGTCGCAATTACCTTTTTTTATTTTATTTATTTTTTTATTCCGTGGCAGAAATGGGCTACCATAGTATTTAAAGAAGAATTCAATGCACAAACAATTTGTATACTCCATTTCTTAGTATTTAAAGGAGTAGTTCACCTGGAAAATGAAACTTCTGTCATAATTTATTCACCCTTATGTTGTTCCAAGGAGTTTCTTTCTTCTATGGAACACAAAAGAAGATATTTTGAAGAACTGTTTTTGTCTACATAATGAGGGTCCAAAACAACATTAGACCTCATTGACTTTCAACATAAGGGTGAGTAAATGATGACATAAGTTTCATTTTTGAGTGCACTATCCTTTTTTCTTTTTTTTGATCTTCTGAAGATCGTTAGACAGTTTATGTGGTGGTAAAGTGCTCCAATAAACTGTTTTCACAATGCGAAGCTCCTTTAGCGGTGTACTCATTGTTAACAATAGTAAACAGTTGGAAGCCCCTTTCAAAGGGGATTATATCAGGTCAGGTGCATTTGGACCTTGATTACCCTTGACATATGTTTGACCATTCTGTTACTGCTGTAGAATCAAGACTTATTAGGGGCCAAGGGGGAAAAAAAGAGGTCATCAAGGCCAAGACGCCCCTAACATCACAAGTAAACAATCCTCTGGTTTACCAATGACTGCTGAGCTGACACGAGGCTTCCTGTTATTTAGACAGAAGACTTTGCAACTGCACGTGAGGATTCACCAAATGCATGCAACAATGTCTGTTTCAGTGTCACAATTATGATTAGAGTGAATGTATTTTTAAATGACTAATTACTCAATATGTGATTATTTAAATTTATTGAGATGGTGCTGTATCAAAAGCCTGAATATAATTATGAAAAGATGATGTCAAAGGCAAAATAATTAAAAATAGACTTAATTCCAACTAATTCTTAATTAGTTGACAGTTAGATGTATAGGGACAGTCCACCCAAAAATGAAAATTCTCTCACCACTTACTCATTGTCATAGTTAAAAACAAAAGACTTTATTTTTGTCTGTGGAGTAGAAAAGATGGTATTTTGAAGAATGTTGATTATCAAATTGTTTAGGTAACTACTAACTTCCACTATATGGACAAAAACAATAAGACATTTCTCAAAATATCTTCTTACAAGTTCCACATAGAAGAAGAAAAAAAGTCATTTGGAATGACGTGGGTGGGTGAATCATGATCATTTTTATTTTTGGGTGAACTACCTCTTTAATTACCTGTGATTCATTATAATTTTTTTTTGAATTATCACTGAAAACCACTTACTAATTTCAAGTAACTTAAAAATGCTTTGTCCACAAGAATGTGATTCAAAGATCTGATCATAAGTAAAAAAAAAAATGTGTTGACAAAATACAAGAACTAGATTGCAGAATGGATTGCTGTGGGATAGAGATAGACTCAAAAGGTTTTGTTGTTGTTGTTTTTCCCCCAAAGAAATTAATATTTTTATTCAGCAAGGATGCATTAAGCAGATCAAAAGTGACAGTTAAATGGTTAGTTCACCTAAAAATGAAAACTCACCCCCGTTTGAGTACTCACCCCCGAGGCATCCTAGGTGTATATGACTTTCTTCTTTCAGACGAATCCAGTCAGAGTTATATTGTTATAATTGTCTTTGATCTTTCAAGCTGTTTAATGCCACTCAGCGGGTGTTGCATTGCTTCAGTCCAAAAGAACTTAAATACATTTTTAAAATACATGTATCGATGTAAAACAGTTATTTTTTTATAGTTTTTATAAATCTAACACATGCTAGATGGTTTTCCAACAGGGCAGTGTAATTATTTATAATGCATATTATATGCATTTGGTTTTATTGCATTGATGGTTAAGTACCAAAAAAAAAAGTAATTTCTAAGGCTCTGAATTCTTTAAGGAGGGGAAAAACCAAGAGACAACAGTAACATAATTCGAAAGGAACTCCCTAGAGTAACTTTGATTTTAAACAAAATAACTTTCTTTTTCTACCCAACCCCCTTCCCCTGAGTGCCAGAACAATTAACTGGACGAACATCAGACTTATTGCAAAATGCTTATAACAAATAGCAAAAGAACATTTGTTACTTGGTACATTTTATTATCAAACTAAAATGCAAAAGGAAATCTCTCACACTTCAGACCCAGACATCACTATTAACAAACAACACTTATTACTGGTCTGTAAAGACACCTCTTGTGTTTTCAGCGGGCCGTTTTCCTGATTTCTTTTTAAAAGTACAGGTATTTTCCAAAAAACATAGAGACTGCAGCAAACCACCCCAAATCATTTATATGCTCCCATTTCAACACAAAAATCTGTTCAGCAAGTCAAGTTCTTCTAACAAAGAAATTATGTCATAAATGGCAGTAAATGAACCGCCATGTGACCTTCTCGGAAAGAGATGTTCAAACCAGTGCACATGAAGAGAGAGGACAGTGGGCGCAGCGGGGCCTGCGATTTCTGCTGTAGTCACAAGACTAATCTGGCAGGCAAATAATGACTGCATGCCATCAGCTCGCTCATTTCTATACGGGGCCATCCGAGGATGCAAATCAGACGCGCATAGTTTCTGCAATCTCTGACCCGAAAGCCTGAGGATGCAGTCCAATTACAGCTTTCCGATGACATTTGATGACAGTACTGAGCTTTCCAGTACGCGGCTCATAATACAGTAAAGACATATTGCTGGCGCTGGCGCCGCTGCTCCGTGCCAGATTGGCCACCTATCAAAGGGCTCAAAATCCCATAGTTCTTTCTTTACCACTTTCTTTTATCTCTTGATCTTCAAGCCGTCCCCGTATATCATTTTCCTCTAGGTGCCTCAATTCAGCCCGATTAATCCCTTGTAATGTACAGTCTCTATTGACGTGATAAATGACAACTGAAAAGTGGAGGTTCTGACCCCGACTCTTTCTCTTCCTTTGGAGATGGATTGGAACAGGGCCTCCCAAGGTGGCAGTCTTTTTTATGTCTGGTTTCATGAAGGCGTATTCAATGATAACAGCCATCAAAATGACAGGAGCCTTTATGATAAGTGCGTCCCGCCCAGCGTTGAATAGATGGACAGTGATAGCGATGCTCATTGTTAGCACGCTGGCGGAGTAGTGTATCCTATAGAGTGGGCGGAGCCTGCGAGACACGACGCTGAATAGGCGTGTAGGGTGTCCATGCCCTTTGGTGCCCTTCCAGGTGTGGGAAACACAGGGCAGAAAGCACCTGCAGGGCCTACGCGCTAAATCTCATTGTATCGCGTGCCAATATGGTGGATGATGGTGTGAGATATTCTGAGCCTGAAAGAGTATTGTTTCATTCATCACATTGTCCGTGAATGGACCGAGATATTCCACC